AAATATGTCACTTCCTTTGTGTTAATCAAAATGGTATAGAATTGCATGCATAATAGGTCTTTTGGTGTGCCTAGAAAATTTCAGAGCAATATTGATAGACAATATTGAAATATTCGAAAACATGAAATAATAAATTCAATTCAGACGGGTCGTTTTGGTATAGCAGTAAGTTTGGTTCAATCATCTCACTTTAGTCTCAGGGGTCTATGGTATCATTTTGTACAGATATTTCAGGGGCACCCTGTATATCAAATCTCATTTTTATACACTTGAAATCCTAGAAATTATGACTTTTCTAATAGATTCGTTGACACCTGGTATACAGCCAGAAATAATAAAAAGTCTCTGGTAGAAGTCCATCGTGGAGTACAGTGGTTAATATTGAATAACACACAAATTCATATCCACGACAATTTATTGTGAAAATTCACGGGTTCATTGTGAATAATCACATCAAGGGAACATGTTTTTGGACATACATATGTCCATCATCAGCCTAATGAGAAATTACATAGTCATGAAGGTGAAAAATTTTTTTATCTAATAACCGTAGAGAATTAATAGTATATTATGTAACAAGTCTTATAAACGTCCTTTTGGTAACGAGTATTTTAAGCACGAACGGAGCAGAGCGGAGCGAGTGTTTAATAAACGAGTGTCTAGAAGAGTTTATAAACGCGTTATATACTATGCTTTTTCTACGAACTCCGAAAATTACATTAACATACCTATTTTCCTGCTAACCTACAAAATAATTCGAAAGGAATGGGAATTGAGAACATAATACATGCAACCAGCGAGACACGTATATGAGTGATATTGGTTGTAGTTGTGTCCAGTCCATTGTTTACTAACCTTTGTTTCACGTTCATTGTCATGCTTAGCGCAGAAAAAATAATTTGTTCTCAAAGTTGGATGCTTCATTTTTACACTTCTTGGAGATATGCAAGTACCAAAACATTCTCATCGATTTGACTTTCGTCTACATTTCGCATATATTTTTAATGAAGAATTCTGATACAAACGAAAATTGTTATAATAATTCTTATACAAAATTCGAAAATGACAGTTGACAGTTCCTACGATTGACAGGCCAGACATGTCTCTCTCCATCCTTGTCTCAAATTACTGAAGCTGTGTTTAATGAGCTGTGTTGCCATGCTAATGTATTTAAGAAATCGTGTTGCCATGGTAACGTGTTTAATATTTTGAATTAATCACAGATCGACAATCCGTGATTAGTCGATCATTTAGCGTGGTACATATCCGTACGCTAAGTGCCATTTTAGTTATGTGAGTAGAAAAAATACATAAAAGTTGAATGGTTAATTGTTTTCTAGGGGGATAACCATGAAAACCCTGAACACTGATGTTCCGTCAACTTGCTCATGGGGGTTTTCATGGTTAGAAAACAATCAATTATTCAACTTTTATGTATTTTAATTCTTTACGGTCATTAGATAAAAAATTTCCCCGTCATGAATATGTAATTTCTTATTAGGCTGATGATGGACATTGGTATGTCCGAAAACATGTTCCATTGATGTGATTATTCACAATGAACCCGTGAGTTTTCACAATAAATTGTCGTGGAGATGACTTTGTATATTATTGTGACTTAATTGTTCTTAATTGTGACTTGCCATAGATGTATTTGTATGTATATAACATGGTATAAACTATTCTATTCTACTCTATTCAGTATAAATAATAAAAAGGTTATTCAAACACGGATCGGAAAATTATTTCTTAATACGTCTCTTTGAAAGTGGGATCCTGAAGATGTTTTGTCCTGAATAAAATATCCTTAGTTTCCCGATATTAAATTCCGGAAAATTTTACCCACCAAATACTTGAGGATATTTTCAACTATTTCCTTCATTTCCTGTTAGGTACCTACGCACCTGATCATTTCCGAGATTATTTTATCGACTATTTCACTCATCGAATGAAGTCTGGATGTAATCATGGATTGCGTAGCAAAGTCTGGCATAAAATAATTATGGCTGTACTTGTCTCATTTATAATACATGCATTTTATGCTTCGTGAACGTGAAATAGGCTAGCAAAATTCCACTCTGTTCCGAATACCACTCGTCCTGACGAACTCGTGGTGTTGCTCGGCAACAGAACTTCGTGATCAATGAAGCGCCAGAATTATCTGGAATATTCATTCATGAGTCACTGAATTACGTTTCATGACTATATTGTGAAGCGTTTCTAAAATAGGTGTTTAGGCAACACATCAAGAGAGACTTTTTTCATTATTTTCGGCCGTAGAAGCCACTGGCGAAACATTGCACACTATTATCTGGACATCCTGTGTACGTATTAATCCTTCCTATCATTCCTTGAGAGACTCTTGACAGCCACCAATGAAAATAGAGCACTTGGGGAGTTGCCCAGTAGTATTGATTTATCAAAACAGCTGACTAATCAATTCCATAAGGTAGGTGGTAAACAAGCAATTTCGAAGAATTTCAGTATGGATTGAAATACAAGGGTTAGTGGACTAATTTCAGATAATTTTTTATTTTTTCATACTGTAATGGATTATATTCGAGAATTTGATATACAGCTAGAAAAGGAATATTACTATGCTGGAGAAACGATAAAAGGCAATGTTGTTTTGGATACTGTTGATAATTTCAAATTGAGAAGTAAGTTTTCACTTTCTTTATTTACGTCTTTTTTCTAAAACAAGAATGCAATCTTTTGAAGCTATTAGGGTGATTCTGAGAGGAAAGGCACATGCAGAATGGAAAGTTCTAATATCGGGAGATCGAAGAACAGTAAGTACAATTTATTTATTCACCCTTACTTATTTCTAGTCGAAAAAACCTGAAAGATAATCATGAACCATTCTAAATATTTTATATTTTTTCTTTTCATGATACATGAATGAAAGAGTGAGAGAGATATCTGTATTGAACCAATAAAACATTTTTACATTCTTATGTAGGACCTTCCTCTAAATCTAAACAGTACAATCCTTTTTTATTATATACAGGGTGAGTCATGAAGAACTGTACATACTCCTACCACGAATAGAGGCCCTAATGACCATCAGAAAGTGTATTCTTCTCTTTACCAATATATAGGGTGAATTATGAGATTTGGCGAGAACATCTTTTGGTCATAACTTTTCAACAGCTCCTTCGATTTGTCTGATTTTTTCATGGAATATTCCTTCACGGAACCCTAATCGACTGACATTACCAGAATCGGAAAATCCAGGACCGTTTTTGAAAAATTTCGATAGCTTTTACCAAAAAGTTCATCCTGTATATTGTTTTTGTAAACTGTGACTGGGAATTTCCGAAGCACACAAAGAAGCATAGAAAAATAAAAATCCCACACTTTCACAGGGCTTCTATTCGTGGTAGGAGTATGTACAGTTCCTCATGACTCACCCTGTATATATCATTGTTGAGCTATTCAACTTACAACCAGCCAGTCGGCACTATCATATACTTTACACAAAAGAAATGAACACATACTTGTTCAAACTAAAACTACAGTATTACAGGTATTACAGTCAAGATTACATTATTACAGTCAAGATTACATTATTACAGTCAAGATTACATTATTACAGTCAAGATCACTTTATTACAGTCAAGATTACATTATTACAGTATTGGAGAACATTTTGTACATGTTTGTTTACATTTATTCAATTTGGTCTAGTTTAGTAAAGTTTGAGGAAATTTTTCAACTATTTCTTGAATATCATTATTGGAGCATATTTTATATAGAATGGAAGCTATAAAGTGACACCCTTGACAAATATTGAGTTTTGATCAGGTGTTGTAGAGCACCTTATTGTTTCCAAATCATTGTTATAGCTTGTATTATGGTGATTCATATCATTTCTCCTGATAAAAGTTAGGTTAGACAGCCTCTTAGAATTAATGATTTGGTATATATCGAGACAGACTTTTTTTCAATAGCATTTAGGGGCATAATGTTATAATTTTTATAGATATCATTAGTTGGGATCTTTGCAATCCATAAATATTTCTTATTGTTCTATTTTGTAAAATATCAATTGGTCTGATCACCTTTTTGAAGGAAAGGTACTATAGCAGAGTAAGATATTGTATGTGACAATGTATCAATGAATAGTAAATTCCTCTCAAAAGATGTTTTGGTATGCAATTATTCAACTTCCGTAATATACCCATCGGAGCTGCAATCTAAGATTTCAGCCTGTCTAAATGGGTTTTTCAATACAAAGTTTCATGTTTCATCAATGTAAAGACCAAGGTACTTAATAACTCGAGAGTATTGCAAGATTGTATTCCCATATTGTATGTTCACTGGGCATGGGGAGTTAGTTTGTCTAGAGATTATTTCATATCCAGATTTATTTACAAAATGGTAGATAGTTTAGTTTATTATGTGGTTAATACCTATATGCTTCTAAAGCCTATGTGTGAAAAGAACTCTGTTCTCGAATCTTCTTAGCAATTCAATAATTATATCTATAATATTCAAGGTGAAAGATGATCAGATTTTTGTCGATGAAAGGCAAATAATATGGGGTGAGAAAAATTTAGAAAGTACGATCCCAATTCTTCCAAGAGGTATCCATAAATTTCCCTTCAAGTAAGTAACAATAAATTTTAAACATTGCATTTTCATACTAGTCAAACCTAAACAAATCCAAATCTCTATTACAACCAATTAAGCAAGGGGTTCTTTGAAAATAACTCGCATGCCTCTTCTCTTATTTCAAGATAAAGTTGATTGAAATGGTTTCGAGATTGAAATGAAATAGAAATAAGTTTGTTATTATTAAACACTCTAATAATAATAATTCTTAGACTTCATTTCGGTGTGTCTAACTACTGTCTTGTTGATTTTGACCTTACAAATCATATTTTAGATTTCCATTACCTGAATCAAGTTTGCCCTGTTCTTTCGAAAGCAAGCCATGCTTTATAAGGTATTTTTTCAAAGTTACGATCGATATTCCATATGCAAGTCCACCACAAGGAGTCAAGTATTTTACTGTCATCGGTCCACATATCGACTGTATGGAAGAACAATATTTGGTAAGCTAGATTTTTTTTCATTTAGATCAATAATTTCAATTTGATATGGTCGTTACTTGATGAAAATCCATAGTAATTGTGAAATCTCCACAACGAACTGATTTCCAAAAAATGTTCATATAGAGAAACAACAAAGCAAATTAAATGACTATGATACTATGAGTAGGATTTTATCATTATTTTTTCATATATAATACCACAAGTGATAATATTTTGCCGGAAATATTCGATGATTGTTACGACAGCTTGTTGCCTAGTAATTTCGTGAATGACATTGTTATCAAAACTACGAGCCGTGGGCCAGTAGTTTTGGATCAATGTCATGAGCGGAATAGGAGCAGCAAGCTGGAGTATGCCAATCGACGAATATTTCCAGGAAAAATAGTATCACGAGTTGTATTCGTATGACTATTTCATGATTGAATGAGACAATATATATGAGAAATAGGAAACATAATTTGAGTGTATTCCAATTCAAACTGCGAAGGAGAACATAATGATAGTAATGAAATACAGAATTCAATTTTTTATAAATCAACTACCTACTTATAGTTATTCACAAAGTGGAATGTACAATTTTGATATACAGTATTTTTTTTATTATCTTGGAGATGATTTCTCTCAAAAGAGTGTATACAATAATTGCTATCCAATTCAAACAAAATAAATTGAATTTATGTGACATGAAATAATTAAATAAAAGATATCGTCGCCGATGGGCTCGAACCATCGACCTTCGTATCTTCGCGCAACAACCCTATCAGTTGCGCCACATATCATCTGGTAATTATATTAGTCACAAAAACTTAAGTGATTGAAGAAGATACTTTAAAAAGGAATTTGAATTCTTTCGTACAAAATCTGTGACAAAATGTCTCACTAACGCGAATTATAAGTAAATAAAATGAAGTAGGTACTTAGGTTATTGTCTCAGATTTGAATCCAAAGCAATCTTGACCAGAAACGATGTCAAAATTTTATCGCTGATAAACGAGGTTTGTTGGTCACGTGTGGGTATTGTATTGGTAGAGCAAGTCCGACGAAATTCAATAAACAAAAAATATCGCTAGAATACAGAAGAAACCGTGAATATGGTCGATTCTGATTGGTTCTCGAGATCAAGAGTGGAATAGTCAGATATAAATTTTAACGTCAGCAACTGTCAACTTTTTTTTTTCAAAGGCACCATAGTTTGTTTCCTATTTTTTTTCTGATCGAGTTTTTTCTCTGAATACAGTGATGTATAACAAGTTGAATTTTCGACAAAATTAGTTGAAATAAAAAATAGATTTTCAGTTGACAAGAAATATATATTTTTTCATAAAATTATGAGATGTATCATTGAATGTGGCAGTAAATGTCACTCAAATGAATGAATATGATTTTCAAGTCAGCTGTGACAAAAATTTAAATGTTCAAACTGGATGTCGCGAGCGATTCTGATGAGATTTTTGGGTTTTGATATATGACATAATGCGTTGTAGATAGTAGGCTATGTCTGTGGCCCTGCTCCTCCCCACTCTCACTTATGGCTTGTCTATTTATCCCATTTCCCTCTTGTCTTCGATAAAATTTCCAACAAAATAGACAAATTCATCAAATTGTGTATATTATTCTGGCAGTCTCGAAGTCAATCACTAACTTTATCTAAACCTAGGTCTGTAATTGTGACTAATAATGACCGATCATACAGTTATATGACTTTTATGAATATTACAAGAGATAGGCTCGATTCAATAGTTGCTATTCAATTAAAATACTGCCTAAGAATAAGATTATCAAATAGCGCTGAATTGAAAAATATATATATCACAGAAAAAAAATATTTCATAATTCGATAGGACTCACCCAAACTAGCTCACCACCGCAAACCGTTTCTTGCTGTGAGCTCCCTACGTTTTATAAAAAATTATTGAAATCTCCGATTTTTCGGACCTCTGAAAACGAGGCGATGATTATGACGTCAAAACCCTAATACTGAAACAATACTATTCCAGACAGAGATGAATGATACATGATTTCTGACAGAGTGAATTAGCGCGAGATCACAGTTGAAAGAATTAATATATCAGTTGCCTCAGTCTCCGTCGGGCGTTTGGTATTTTCTTGTAACTATGGCGAGATGAGGTTTCTACGTCATAAGAGGGTTCGTTTTCAGGAGGTACTATTATTTATGCCCAAAAACAAAATATTCCAGTTAATTTTTCGATCGAATTATGTCGTCAATCATTATTTAAGTATAGAAGGATCATTATAAACATGGTTTGAGTTGAAAGTTCTACTAAGGTGTACACGCCCATTCCAACCAAATTCCCCCTAACAGAAAATTAAACATTATAGCAGAATTCATTTGGTGCGTTGGTTTTGTCGAATATTTTGCTATTCCCATATTGCGGATAATGAAATTTAGAGCATTATTTTTTTAGAAACCAATGATTTTGGAAAACCGAAAATCTACTTGCTGCTGGTGCTGTAAAAAGGGCACAATAAGTTTACGGTGTGTTCTGGCCAGATCGGCGTATGTGTGCAAAGAAAGCATCAAACTGAAAGTGACGATCGACAATCAAGGTGAAGAAGAAGTAAAGCTCAGAGTCAAATTGGAACAAGTGTGCGAATTGTTTGTCGACAGAGGTGTATTGGGAGTCAGCAAAGATGTGAAGCACCTTGTTTTCGAATATGGGTATGTCCATCTGAATTATAGTAGAGTTCCTAAATGTACTTGACACTGCTTTTTTGACGTTTTTTGTATATTAGAGTACGGACACTATGACAATCACTGACAGTCAGACATAACCACAAATAAATTGATGGAAAAAGCGGGAACTGACAGAACACGGACGTACATGACATAAATTTCAAAGGTTTGAAAAATTGAGAGAATTAGGAGGAAGATGCAAGTTTGTGCAGTTTCCAACTGTGAGAACACGGGAAATCAATTCACTCTATTCGAATTTCCATAGGATAATGTAATTCTACAAAAATGGAAACAGAATATGATGCGGCCGGCATAGAATATAGTTTCAGGCCACGAAATTTGCGAGGTATTCAAATTTCTTGGTAGGATATAGAACATTTCTCAATCCACTTTCATTAGGTGCACTTTACGGAACGGAAGATTTGATGTTGAAAAATAGGATCGTATTGAGAGAAAGAGCCAAACCCACAATTTATAAACTGAGCGAGAGTCGAAAAGAGTCTTATTCCAATTCAGAACCAACAAGAAACGAAAAACTTGCAGATAATGAAATTCATTTCGAACATATTTTGAAAGAAAAAAACTTGAGAATCGAATTTTCAAAAATCCAAGGTTTACGAGTAGAAGAGAGTGAGGAATTCAGGAAAGTTAAAGCGAAAAGATTTAAATACAAAAGTCAGAGTTAGCAAAATTCAGAACAAGCAATTCCCAATGCCCAATGCTCTCCAGGTTTGGTCGTAACTCAAGAATTTATGTGTAATACAATATTTGGATGTAAATAATATGAATAGTAGTTGCAAATTTGAAGCAGTAACAGCTTTGTCTTATAGAATAAATTCAGATGGCTACAAGTCACTAAACAGTGTTCCTGACGCTTCCTTTTATCATCATAATTGGTGACATTATTGTTATAAAGGGTGTTGTTCAAAACTGTTTGTTGACTCCGTCGATTTGTTTTTCCGTCTTCCACTAATAAGTGTTGCCTATCTTTCGCACTTTTTTCACCGTACTGATGAGGGCTGAAAGCCCGAAACACGTGTCTGCGGGTTACTCTTCCTGAGGGTTATGTCCAATAATCTTTTCCTACTTTGATTATCTATATACTTATGGATTTATTCATCGGCAAAGAAGAATCAGACTTACTTACCGTGGAAAGGGCGCAAAGTTACGTAATTTTACCTGTAATATTACGTAATATCACCGATTTTCAAATCATCGGTAATTTGACATCACTACTCGCACATATCGTCGAACCACAAAATTACTGTCGCTCTGGACTGATATGAGTAATTTCATATAAACACATTCTTTGATTTCATCACTTCGCTTGTGCTATCATTGCTAGTCGTCGATATTCTAACCACATAGGAAAGGCGCAAATCTTCTATTTCTGTCTTTGTCATACCACAAATAATAACGATCAACAATGGCCACGTTTATACCGTGTCTTGGTAAGCTGACTAATGACTATATTTTGACTAAATACTCTTGGTCAGTTTGGTATGAACTGTATACTTGGTAAAGTTACCAGCTTGGTTTGGTGCCGAAATTTATTGAGTACCAGACTAAAATAGTATGATGACCAACACGGTGTAAACATTTTGGTCTACTTTTGTATAGCCTTGACTTGACTTGAGTGCAAGTGGCAGTTATTTCATTAGTTCTCATAATAATATTTCATTCAATTTCAGCTAATTTTGTATCCTACTAAAAGATTATATTCTCAATTTACGAATTCAAGTGGAGTTCCACAACCTAACCTCAAAATAATAATCAAATCAAAACAAAGTTGGTAACGTTAGTCAACTCACAGTCTGAAGATACATGGTGTAAACATGCGTTAACTAAGCATTTGGTCTGAATTTAGATCGATCTCCTTGGTAAGCATACTAAATACCCATACGGTATAAACGTGGCAAGTATCGAACAACATATATTGTCATATCGTGACTTGATCGTGGACAAACACTAATGTTCTTCAATGGATGTTCAATGACTCGACTGCATCTCAATCAACTTATTTTTTGCGACAAAATCATTGAAATGGTGAAACATTGTGTTGTCTATGGATGTAACAAATTTGATATCACCACTGAGTTCGTTTATGATTTTTTATTAGAAAATTAAATAACCATCTTCAACTTCAGACAGTCGTTTCAGATTTCCGATGAAACGCCTCAGTATTTTGGGGATGTGGACAATGTCATTCATATAAAAAACTCTGAACCAAATAAGTCTTTATCCGATATCAAAAAACATTTTTCCAGTTCCAGTGATTTGATCAATTAACCTATAAGAATGGTGGATGGTCTATAATTTTATGTTACAGAGGCTGTCATGTGAAACCTCACACTCGTAGTAAATGGGACAGTTCAAATTGCCTAGTGATACCAACAATGCCTACAACCTTAGTACACATATGTCGACTTGTACAAATATATTATTTGCTCACGGTAACTATTACTCACTAATGATCAGTGCAATATTAAGTATTTCTGATATGTATTTTAGGTATATTTAGACACTGAGAAGGAATATGATATTTTACAAGTGAGCTGTCCGATAACGATAGCAACAGTGCCATTTCGAATACCAAATTCTGATAAATCTCCTTCAGTAAAATATGGTGAGTTTTTATATTATTCGTCTTCAGCCGATGATCGACAAAAAAATCACAAAAATGATATGACAATAATTTTGGAAAACTAGTTTTTAAATGGACCACTATGATGTTTTGCCATTACTAGCTTCAGACCCCACTATTATTCATGATGTTCAAGTCCGACGAATCCATTATTGCTACACGTATTGCAATAGCAAAGTTTTCACATGGTTTTCTCTATTTAAAATGATGATCTGAATTTGGTTATTGTTTGGCATGTAACTTCATCAATCATCAGTTACATGGCTATTCTCAATGAAGTCTAAATTTCAAGTAGAAAATACTTTGATATTGCAAAAGCATGTGGTAGTAAGGGAAAATATATATTATGTACTAATACAGCTCAGCTACAAAAAAATGTGACAGAGATGTAACAACCTGTACTTTTTTATTTGAACAGATACAAATTTGAAATTCACAAGGGTTATATTATCGATGATGGCGCTTCTCTTGAACCCAATGACAATTTTCTTCAACCACTTGTTTGATTGGAAGTAGACCCAACTTTTTTTTTCAAATGACATCCTGTATATTTCTGTAGCCTTCCTTATTTGCCTTTAAATTCTCTATACAACTATGTATCACAATTTGATGAACGAAATATACTAATGTAGACTTATGAACAGATGTATTAGGAAGATACATCAATTATTACAACAGTTACAGTTTGATGTATCCGAATGGATGATTATATTATGGCTTTATGGCAAAAATGGAAGACAAATAGTTACTTCACAAGTAGCCAAATGAAAAAAAACTGAGTTTCTATCTTAGTTTTCTCAATATCGTGAAATATTTTCCGATGATTCTTTTGAACTCAATGAAATTATTGGCAACCTTCTGGGACTGGTTAGGGTATGAAAAATATTCTGATAATATCGTCTAAGTAATGATCTTTGGATTTCTAAGCCTATCAAGCATCGAAAAGTCATCGTATTCGGGCCACAGCCAACTTGATATATTTCAATAAGATGCAATTCAACAGACAATTAATGAACGAATATCGAATTGTGATACATAGTTGAATAGAGAATTTTAAGGCGAATAAGAAAGACTACAGAAATATACACGAGGCCGTTCGAAAAAAAAAAGTTGGGTCTACTTCCGATCAAACAGGTGGTTGAAAAAAATTATCATTGGGTTCAAGGGAAGCGCCATCATTGATAATATAACCCTTGTGAATTTCAAATTTTTATCTCTTCAAATAAAAAAACTACAGGCTGTTACATGTCTCCTGTGTCACCCGGTATATAGTCCAGTAAATACATCAAGTTAATCTTTCGCTTTTTATCTATTATAAACTGGAAAATCACTAGAAAAATGAATGTGAGAACTTGATTGACTTGACCATTTCAATTTTTAAAACGTCACTTATTTATCAGTGTCAATCGAATCATATTTAAAAATACACATGCAAGACGGAACTGACATGTCGATAGTGTTTTACTTTGTGACTTGATGTATTTCCAAGACTATATGTTTATAATTACTATCCAATGGTAATAGTCCAAGAGCCGGGTCGGTTTATATACCTCGAACCCCCGGAAGATTCTTGAGTTTTCTACAGGGTTGGTCATGAAAACATATCCACAAAACGCCAACTGTGCCGGAGCAAATCTCGCCGAAAGTATTTATTAATAATAATTAACCAGCTGCGTTATTTTCAATATCTAACTCTTTCTCCCGGACACATAAAAGAATCACTAGATGTGCATTTCAATGAGTACAAACAGGAAAACTCACTGTGCCGCGTCCGATCCTGCCGGCACCCATGGCACAGTAGAGCTACAGGGGGTAACAAACTACCGTTAACGCGTTAACTACCTTTTCGCTCCAGACAAAAACCCATCAACAAAAATTATAGATAAGGACTAGATGAACACAAAAAAACAACTATGGAACTATCAGCCCCCGGCTGTGAATTTTAAGCGATGGTAGGGAAAAAGAAAAACAGCAAGCAGCAATATACTCGTAGCCGACGAGGCGACAAGTATATTGCCTTTTCTATGCCGCCTCTCAACTCGTCGCCTTCTGAAGCAAACGCGCAATTACCGTAGAAAACTTGAGAATCGTCCGGGAGTTCAAGGTATATAATCCTAACCGGCTCTCCGTCTATAATATATTGAAGTAAATCTTGTTTAGATCACGCTTGTCCAGTTGTAGAAGGGGGAATGTATTTAGCACCGGAATTTTTACTAGGACAGGTGTACGATGGTAACGAACATCATCTACGGTAAGTCCAGTGTAGACAAAATTCACATGAAGACGCAAGGTTCGAAAATCCTTTGTTCTTGAGAAAACTTTTACGTTTTGCTTCTAATGTTTCGTATTCTGATTGGTGAAGCAAAATCTGAAAGTAAACTGAAGCAACATGGCCCCTGATTTAATAGATTCAATAACGTTACGGAACGCCAGTACGTAATTTAATCTACTCACTCTAATCTTAGAATAACATTTTTCCATGGTGACGGTTGAACCCATGAAATCCGAATGTGTCTTAACCCATTAGTGCATAAGGTTATGAAATTTGATTTTCAATATTTTTTTTCAATGCAAAGTGCGAAATAGAGGGTATATAAACATATTCTAGTGAGAAACAAAAATATAATGTGTTCATGTCAAAAATACAGAGTGTTCGTTATATCGAACGTTATGCATAAGATAAGTCAAGGTGTGTGATATTTCAAAAAACAAAATTTTGGATGCAAAGCCCTTTTACACTTGATGCATTTGAGTTTTGCATTTTTCCCACATTGAATACATCTCCTCTCATTGTCAGAGTATTCTGGCAGGTGGTCGACTTTGTCATATCTGACATCTTGAACCGGTGCTGGCGTAATTTTCCCTCTATTGGATTTCTGTCCATGACTTTTCAAGAGACTCAGTGCCAAATACCTTCTGAATTTCAGCAAACCACTCGACATTTCATGAGATGGATAGACCTTCCTGAAAAGTAACCAAGCGTTCACAACTGACACGTCGAATAAATAGGAGAATATGGGCCACCACCACTTCCTCTGCCTCATTCTAGACCTGTACACAGCAACCAGTCCATCCAGTTTATCGACGCCTCCCATGCCTTTATTATAACTATCAAATATTTTTGGTTGTGGTACCATAATTTTCGATTTGCTCTCTCTACAGTATCTCGAAGTGGTTTTTACCTCGCAATTTTCAAAGTTAGAAGCAGCAGATACCACCTTGTTGTCCTTCCATTGAAAAACGACCACTTTCTCACTGCTTGAGAATTTATGAGTTCCACGTTTTTCTTTTGCCATTTTTTTCTGTTGGTTTCTGAGCGGACAGTCTTCCAATCTATTATCTCTCACAGTTCCTGTACTGCAGTATCCTAATGAAGATAGATGATTCAAAAGTTTCAGGGATGTGAAATAATTATCCATAAAAATCTTGTAGCCAGAGTTAGGTGGTATTTGGGCTTTTTCAATCAGATTCAAAACCACACTTCCCCCTAAACCAAAATCATTAGTTTTATTGGGTTCATTCATCCTATTTTTCCCAGTATATATATCGAAGCTGAGCATATATCCATTACTCGTGCATATTGCCCAGTTCTTGAACCCAAATCGAATGGGCTTCCCCTTTATGTACTGTTTCGCAAAGTGTTTACCATAATAGGGAATCATGCTTTCATCAATACTTATGTTCTCATCTAAGCCACCATTGATTCTGAAATTGTCATTGAGTTTGTCAATAAGAGGCTGTAATTTGTACAATTTATTCTCATTGTCGATTTGGCTATTATCATTCAAGTGAATATGTCTCAAAATAGTCTCGAATCTATTCAGTCTCATACTTTCCGATAATATACTTGGCACATCATTCTCATTGGACCAATACATTCTTTTGTTTGGATATTTACCATATCCAGAAAGCAAGAGACCACCGAATACCACGAGTAGTTCACTCCTTGTTAGGTTCAAATTATTGTTCTTCTGCTGGGCATATAAATTACTTTGTTCTTGAATGATTGTCAAAATTTCTTCATCAAAAAAAAGTTGAAAAAATTCCAATGGAGTTTTTTTCTCATTGATTCCTTCGGGTGGGTTGCGCTGAGTACAGTTTTTTTCTATTGCAAAAGAAGGTTCAGCATCAGACCAGGTAGTCATTTTTCGTTTCTTTGATGAAGTAGGTCTACTAGTTTCCGACAACAAGTTTGCAGCTGCATTTGGAAATAAAGTTGCGAGTGGTACATCATCTTCAGAATCATATTCTTCGGGAAGTATTTCAGGATCATCATGCTGAATTGGAACGAATTCGCTTTCGGCTCTCAACATAGCAGGTCCTAAGTGGCAAATATTTCCTGCATGATCATCATCAGATAGGTCACTATCAATATCGGTATCCGCACCGTCTTGAGGTGGAGTGATGTAAATATTTCCACTCTGAATATCATCTTCTTCCAATGAGTCGATTAGTTCAGAAAGTGTGAGTCTAGAACAATACAAAATATCATGACCATATAAGACTAATAGGAGACGTGGTGCATAACGATCGATAAAACGAACGTGAAATGAAAGTGGATTTTTTGTTATGAAAAACTAACATCACTGAATTGATGATTATAGAGATCGATAATATACTAATAAGAGAAAACATAAGAATGATTTCAGAAAAAAATATTGAAAAAGAGTAAAATAATATTCAATTTACTTACCCGCCGCGCCTTGTATTGTACAATTCGGGATCCATAACTTTTCATAAATTCTTATTCAGTTATCCAAGAGACTCAAAAACAGTTTCAACCCATATAAATAGTAAACCTAACCTCAAATTATATGTCCCTGTCAGAAACACCTGATTTCTGCAGTACAACTCAGTGATACCAACACAAATATAGATGTTCGATGAAACGAACATTATGCACTAATGGGTTAATGCTAAAACAGTTGGCAGATGTGAAGTTTGATTTTTGAGTATTGTTTTTTTTTGTGTCACTCTAAATTGTTATCAGTAATATGATTAGTTTCGAGCTTTCCAAACATTCAAGATGTGATTTGAAAATTAATAATTATATGAATAAAATGAACCCTCTCAGGAATAGTTCCAACAATGATTGATATTTTTTTTTCAGAGATCCACTAGTTTTATACAAACCTCTTTATGTAACGGTAGACAATTCTGAAACCAACTGAAAAGAATTTATAAGAAAAATGAGAGATGGCAATAATTACATTATTTTATATTTAGTACCATAAGAAACTACCTTACAGGGTCATAGGTCCTTTTATTTTTAACACCATCAAGACTGAAACTTATACTAATTTGTTAAGTCAATTTCAAAAATGTTTCACACCCTTTATGATTATAATCGTAGAAACCATCTTGATGACTACATTTCAATTATAGTATAGTTGTTGTGAGATCCACTGTTTTTTACTTTTTTTTGCAATCTGCATGATTATTATTAAAATAATTATACCATGTGATTGATGTACAACTCAATAAATACGTAACGACTATTGAGTTGTCAGTATTTTTGGGTTAGACGAGCTCATACAGTTTTCATCGCTCCTTGGTTGTATTGTGATATATTTATAAAATATATTCTAGTCCATGAGCATAGCCTGATATTGCAAGAGAATTTTTATACGAGTCGTTAGAAATTTATTGAGCATAGCTGTACGTACCATCCTGTTTCACCAAAGGGCCAGTTTTATATGTTACTGTTCTTTGAGTTGTCTCACAACTATTTTCGTTGTACTTGGCTGTAACTAAGAAAACTGTTGGTTTCATCGGTCCATGTTATCCTCTGATATCAGCAGTTGTCAATGTAATATTGGAATTATTGTTATTAGTAATTTTTCATGTTTTTTTTTGGTACAGGCCTATTTCTGCAGGCTTTCTCAACAATTGCTATCACATTATCCTCATCATTCAAAATAATTTTCTGGAATATATCTATCAACAAACCGACAAAATAATATGGGAATGTGTCAAATATCAAAGTTATCTGGCACTTGATCTATCTAGCATTTCTGGTTAAAATCCACCCATGAAACTAATTACTAAGGTGAATTAGATGTTGAGGCAAGGTCATATTTAACTGTAGCTTATAAAACCGGCCTTGAAACGTCAACCGTATCAGGGGATGATACATATAAAAAATGTCTGTGTACCTAATCTAAGAATTAATTAGATCGACTATTTTTATTAAGAACTTGTAATGATTGTTCATTGCTCATTTTCATTCTGTATTTTACATGGTTGAATGGATAATATCTATCGAGTGACAACATATACTTTTTAACCAACGTAGGTGATCCAGAACTTACAGTCGAGGTAATATAAATCAGGAGGGGTGAAAAAATTACAGTCACAACTCCACCATATAAACAATTTAATTATGACCAATGGTCATGGACATAAGGACATGTTTCGAAGGATTAATCCTTCATCATCAGCATATTTATAAAAATAAGATCTGTACGACAAAAGCATTGTTTCTTCTCATAGATTTTCTTTTTATAAATATGCTGATTATGAAGGATTAATCCTTCGAAACATGTCCTTATGTCCATGACTATTGGTCATTATTAAATTGTTCATATAGTGGAGTTGTAAGTGTAAGTTTTTTCACCCCTCCTGATATATACTTTTTAGATAAGTCATAGTTTCAAGGTTATGAAGTTCAAACTTGGCAGGATGAAAATTTTTCAGTACCTATGTTTTTACTTTCCAACACTTCCAGATTCAGCGGGAACGACCTGAGCTTCGAAATTTCAAATAAATCTCCATGTATTTTTTTACATTTTCGGATTTTGTGGTCTGTCTACAACCCATTTGTGAGCGTTTGTTGTCTGAATTAAGAAGAAATAACATAAATATATGTGGTTATAGAAATAATCAGTAGAATGTGGCTTACAGATTTAGTGTAAATTTTCGAAAATGTGATGTCTTATGGAATATTTGTGCCAAAACTCAGTTCTTGTATTTTGTGCCAATTATATATTTTGTTAAATACTGTCTGTGATTTGATCGGGGAGCTGGAATATTTATTTCCCTAGATTTTTGGGATTCTCTACTCGCCTCTCTATAATCAAAATATCACCTATTTTCTCAATATACACTTACGAGACACATATTGGTTGTATGGGAGAAAAGTTGCACCAGTGAAAGACCAACAAAATGACTTAAGAAGACTTAACTTAATTTCCTGATTATCAATTTTATTCTCGCCTTGATAATGAAGTCATGAGAAAACTGAATAATATCTTCATGGCATCTTTTGATGCAATTCAATTTGGCATCATCAATTTTCTGATTCAACGTTTCGTCTTTGAGCAACTGTTTTGACGAAATAGTTTCAACACAAAAAATTACTAGAGTTGAGAAAACTCGATTTTGAACACCCTATATCTCTGTTATCATTCCTGCTAGACTCCAAGTGTGATACATTGATGAAATAAAAAAGAAAAACATCATCAGCCGATATTTTGGAATTCAAAAATTCTATAGATCTAAGATCTGAAGATAATTATAGGTCATACTTCTCATGCAACCCTATAACCATTGTACCTGAATTTTTTCTTAACAGGGTGATTAAAAATTCGGTGTAAATATTTTAAGAACGTATTGTCATTATGTCGGTCCTTCACTCGTGCAATTTTTTTGCAGGTCACAACTACGTAAGAAAGTGCGATAGATTTTTTATACTTGGAGTACTAACATTATTTTGGCTCATTCTAACAGCCCTATCATTTATGACATGACATTTCCGGACACACTGTATATGTGTGAGTTATAGTCTGGTTTTCTGAATGATCTTGAATTCACCAGTTTTAAGATTGAACAGATATAACTTAGGGCAAATCATCTTTTTTTTTATTTTTATTTATCGCTTGGAGCGCACGAAAGGGAATCCCTATAATGTTCAAAGAACATCGTGCGTTCCTAGGGAGGATAGGGATAGGAGGTAGGTATTGGAATTTTTTTTGAACTTCTGGAGATTAAATGTTGGGAATACTTCCTCAGGCAATGAATTCCAGAGCCTAGCCGTTCTATGGATGAAGGAGTTTTGATAAAGACAATCTTCGAGGTTGACAACGAAAGGATGTGCTGACTGGGCTTGTCTAGTTCGTCTGACTGGTATTGCTAGTGAAGGGACGATAGCAGAGATTTCCGAAGAACATTTCCTGTGGAAGTATCGATAGAAAAGTGAAAGGTCGCCGACCATTCTACGGTGTTCCAATAATGTCAAAGAGTGAGTGAGTGTGGCGTCACCCACCAGGCGGATGGCTCTTCTCTGGATGGAATCTAAGAGCATCAGCGTATGTTTTGGTGCTGAACCCCATATGTGGGAACAGTATTCTAGAACAGGCCGTATCTGCGCTTTGTAGGTCATGAGAAGCTGTTGAGGTGTAAAGTAGCTTTTCGCACGGAACAAGAATCCGAGTTTTTGTGAAGCAGCTTTTGCGATGGATCTGACATGATTATCCCATGAAAGAGTGTTGCTGATGGAAATACTGAGCATAGATATGGTGGGCTTGGTGGGGATGGTGGTGCCAGACATTACAATGTCGGGCATACTAAGTTCCGCCTTTCTAGAGAAAATACAGGCTTGAGTTTTGGTGGCGTTGAATTCATATAGGTAGTTGGTTCCCCAGGCTGTGATTTCAGCAAGGTCTTCATTGACAGCATCGACCTGCCTAGGCCGTGAGTTCTTATCTGATTTGTTCTAACTATAAGTGTATTGAATTAATACTATTATATTTATTTATACAGAGGAGAAGAGAAAATCCCAGAAATCTGGAGAATTTATTTTCCATTTGACATTATTCTTCATATTTATATGATAATTGTTGAATGTAGTAACTGAATGCGTTTTCATATTGTTTGGTAAGTGCCTACTTGTAGTAAGTTGGGTACGTTAGCTACTTACTGATAACTGTTTAAATTAATTATCATTATCCACATTGAAGGTAATCATGGGTTTGAAAAGAATGACGTTTCTAGTCCACGGAAATTAAGATATTGATGTTGACTGAATAATTGTATCCTTTGGTATACACCGTGTCCCAGCTAAAATGTCCCCAGTAAAAAATCAACCGCGCGATAGAATTACTTGAAATTTCGTCACCCAGTATATTTGATGTTGCTAACTCGAAGTATGCTATTATTATTATTATAATCGTATGTAGGTATACGGGGTCACACCAAAGTTCACCTAAACATTCTCATTCGAGTAACACCCAGTATGTTATTCCATATTCAAATAGAGCTCAAATTACAAATTCAACAATACTGGGTTTGATGGGGGTTTTCCAAATACTACGAAGATATAATGGAAGCGGACATTAGATAGATGAATCATTATTGAAATAGGTACCACTAATGGCACTAATTTACAACGAATAACATTCACAGTAATAACAATAATGATAATAATACATCCTAAATAATATTCATACCACTACACATCATTGAAATAATTATACAGGATGTCTGTAAAAGGTCTTTACAAAAACATACCACATATTCCCTAGACCAAAATAAGTCGATTTAAGTGAAATTATCTCAGTACAAAGTTGCATCGTTTGGGCTCCAGAGGGCCTTGAAGTTACAATTTTTAAATCGTTTTCCCCATATGAATTTAAAACGGCATATGCGATTTTGCTGAAATTTGGTATATTGATAGAGATTTATGTGGCAAAAAAAATGGTGTAAAAATTTTGTCCGATAATAATACATAGGCGTAGAACTTGATTTTTTAAATAATTGCACCTTTAAAAATTCTACGCCAATGGAAGAAAAGCAGTTTGAGTATGAAATTTAGATTGCGCAACTCATTTACTTTAAAAAAATTCCTCTTGATAAGACTCGATTGCTCTCATCATGGTTTTGACGAAATTTGCATTTTAGTAATTTTAGAACATAAACAATAATTATTAAAATACAAACTTTGTCAAAATCATGAGAGTAAATCGAGTGTTATCAAGTGTACTGTTTTGTAGTAAATGAGTACCCAATCCAGATTTCATACTCAAACCCCATTTCTGCCATAGGCGTAGAACTTGATCTTTTAAATAATTGCACCTTTAGAAATTCATTGTCTTTTTATAATTCGTTCTGGGAATATGAATATTGTTGCAGTTTCTTGTTAAATAATTATTCTCAGAATGTATGGTCTGAGTATGCCAATAATCATGTTCTTCCAACATGGTGGGTGTCCTGCACATAACTACAGACCCGTAAAGGATTATCTTCGCCATCTCGATATTCTCGATGGTGATATCACCTACCAGCTCGGTCGCCAGACCTCACCCCACTAAATTTTTATTTGTGAGGCTACATGAAATAACAGGTTTATGAGTCGCCAATTGTGAAATTGGAAGAAATGAAAGAGAACATCAGAAATGTAGGCACACAAATTGATCGTAACGTCTCATTTCAAACGGCC